AAATAAATCTGCTGCCCCATGGCCCTGCCTCCAACCTTGTCATACACTCCTTTTTTTGGCTGCAGCCAAAAACCTTTCACACTTTTTACCCAGTGCTGTGCAGGCAGCATTAGCGAGCAGCCTCTGGTGCTGCTCTGCCTCGGTCACAACCATTGTCATCCCAAAGCGTTGCACACAGGTTTACACTGCTGAGCCTTGCTCCACACTGGATTGGCACAAGTGGTGGAACAGGAGAAAGCAGAGAGAAGAAGGAAAGTCGGGATCAGCTGTGAAGTGTCTTAAGATGCAGCACAGGGTAGTTTGAAGAAAGTAATACTGCTTGCACTAGCAAGCGAGATGATGTGACTGGCCCTTAAGATGCTGTAGCTGTGCATCCAACAGTAAATATTTACTATAATGCTGGTTCTTGCACTTCTCTGTTGTATAATAGCATTTCTAAGTGCTCTGAAACAGTTATGGCATAATGATTTTTTACATTTCTCAAAGAAAAAGGGGAAGGAGAGACAATGTGGCGGCAGCGATGTTGACGCAAGTTTTGTATTAATTCTCTTTTTTCCTTCAGCAGTGCCCTGTTGAATTGTAGGTGGTCTTTGGTCTGTTTCTTCACTCTTTCTACTGATGATTTATTTCTGTGCTTTGAGAGTTTTTATAATGTTTCTTTTATTGTTCCTCGTCCATTTGGCTGCTTTTTATGCTGCAGTTTGTATAATCTTCCATTTTTATTTTTTGACTGGAGTGTGAAATGTGCTAGTCGTCTTAAAACATACAAAAACATAATGGGCCATAAAATATGGATGGCCTCAAACTGGAAGAATAATGTGTCTGGAACTTTTTTTTTATGCAGTTGCAGGCACCAACCCCAAACACCACCCCCGACACCTCCCCGCCTCCCTTGGTTTTTTTAAGGATTTTTCTACCTGTAGTGAAATTAATGATGTTACTGTGCTCCTTTTAAATACTAACTGTATTCAGAGTGTTGTGCAGACATGAAATAATCAATGTTTCACCTCCAGAAAGGATAGGTACATGTGTTTTTGATTGCCAGTACCCATCTTGACACTTGTTTTGCTTCCTCCTGGTATAAACCAGACGTGGGACTGGTAGTGGGCTAGGGGAGGGTGGGAGTGTGTGGGCTTTTAAATAACTTTGCAACTCCCCTCTCCCTGACCACTGGGTAATGGCCAGGGGAAACACGCGTGTCAGGAGATAGCTGGGGGTGTTCTGAGAAGAGAAGGGAATGAAACTTAAGGAGGAAAGCAAATGTAACCATAGGGAAGGCTATTGCAAATAGCAAAACAGGATCTGCTGAATGAATTAAGCCAGCAAAAGTGACAGACGTCTCTCTTTAGCAGGAGGCATACAAGATAGGGACAATCCTGCTCTGGTGCCCAGGTGACTGGAGCTGTATGGGTGGCACATCCCATATGTGCCCAGCCTGGTGCTGCGCTTGATGGGAGCCACCCACAGCTTTCCTAATCTGCTCCTGTGTTTCCCTTTCCCCTCTGCTGCCTGGCACACGTGGACCCCAGGAGGCTGTGAGCTCGACCTGGCCTGCTTCGTCCAGCTGATCAACGAGATGGGGGGGATGCAGCAAGTGACTGACCTCAAGAAATGGAACAAGCTGGCAGACATGCTGCGCATCCCCAAAACTGCACAGGACAGGCTGGCCAAGCTGCAAGAAGCCTACTGCCAGTACTTGCTCTCCTACGACTCCCTCTCCCCTGAGGAGCACAAGAAACTGGAGAAGGAAGTCTTGCTGGAAAAGGAAATCTTGGAGAAGAGGAAAGGGCCTTTGGAGGGACATTCAGAGAATGCCTACAAGTTCCATTCCTTGCCCCGATTTGAGCCCAAAAATGGACTCATCAATGGCGTGGTTCACAAAAATGGCTTCCGCAACAAGTTAAAAGAGGTCGATGTCCCACTGAAGACGGGCAGGCGGCGGCTCTTCGCTCAGGAAAAGGAGACCACGAAAGAGGACGAGGAGGAGGAGGAGGGAGTTCTTAGCGACTTACACAAGTGTATATACAAGGTAATGAGGCAGGCTTTGCCGATCTTGTTTTGCAGAACTGATCCAGGTGCAAACCCAGCCAGCTGGGGTGAGCCAATGGGCTCCAGTGCCACCCCCAAGGCAGCAGCGCAGCCAGCGGCTATCGCCGCGGGGCAGTCTGGTGGCTTGATCCTAACCTTCCTGGCTTGTGCAGGATGTCTGGAAAAGCTGGAAGGTGTTACTGTCATAATGAGATGCACTGGGCTCTGCCCTTCTTCGGCTCCTTGTGAGATGCTCTCTGAATAGCTCTGCCCAGTTATCCTTGCAGACACAGTTTTTATTTTCATTTTCTAGTGACATTTAACGTAATGTTCTGCTTTCTCATGCCTTTTTCTTGCACGTCTCTTGTTGAGCGAAGTAGAGCTCCACATCAAAACTAACATCACTGGAAATACTACTACATTTAGAAAAGGCAAATTGAAATGCAAACAGTATTTTCATCCGCGATGCCAGATTTTGCTCTGCACTAGCAGTCACATGGACACTTAATCCTTCACATATCAAGTACATCCGTTTACAAAGGAATGCTGACTCTTTCACTGTATTTTAGTTGGCAGTCTCCTACTCTGGAGCAGGACTTGGCACTGCAATTCGCAGTGCAGTTCTGAGTTGCGTTGAATTGCGTAGCTGTGCTCTAAGAGAAATACAGCGGTGACTGTCTGTGCCCAGTAAAGGAATACGTTGTTCTTCCCCTTCCCATCTCGCTTCCATCACCAGGAAATGAAGCCAGATAGCCCAGAGTGGCTTATTGTTAAGCTATTTAGGGACTGCATGACCTCATGACTGAGCTTTAAAAGCTTGCTTCAGGTTTCTTTTGCAGCCTGTTATGATTTGTCAGCCCCAAAATTCTTCTACTCGGGGACTCTGGCCTCAATCCCACCTTTGAAAAACAATCTGTTTGCCATGCTGCTGTTGGAGGGAAGCTTATCTAATGACAGCGGCATTTGTGAATAGTGAAGTGGCATTTCTGTGCTAAACATTCTGTGCTTAAATAATGTTAAATGAAAAATTTGATATAACTTAACCCTGACTGCTTGTATGAACAATCTCAAACTTAGTGGGGAAATGCCTCCATCTTCTTTTCCAGTGCAAGTCCCAAGTTAAAGTTTAGAGGATAGAAAGTAACTCAAAAAGCAAGATGGGGATTTGTGATAAGTATGCTGATCAGACTTAGAAAGTAAAAAAAGGCAAACGAGCGAAGTGCAGCTGGTTGTATAACCAGCCTGAGTCTGCTGAGCTCCAGGCCTTTACCCCAAAGGGCTGAGAGCTCCCAAATTGCTGCTGCCGCCACACAGAAAGCACTGGCAGTACTGACAGCATCAGACTCATGTCCCAGCAGAAATACTTTTGTTCTGAGCATAGAAGCTGTTAAGAATCGAGCATCGCTGGCCAGTGCTCTCCCCACCCACCAAAGCAGCTGCGGCACGTGGAGCCGCTCAGGCAATGCCTCAGGTTGTCTGCCATGGTGCTGGCAGCTTCCCGGGCACTGCGGCTTGCCCGTTTGAATCCCATCCCATGCTCACCTGCGGTGCAGAGGCTGAGAACAGCTGTTGCAGGCGATGGACCAGGGAGAAAACAGGGGGAAGCAAATCTGCGGTGGGTTTCTGGAGAGATCCCAGCTGTGAGGGCCCTGCGGGACGCCTGGTCAGCCTGAGTGCAGAGAGGCGTGTAGGTTCATTTTCACAACACTTAGGGGGAAAGCCCCGTAGAAAGACGGATGCATGAGAACTGTTTATGTCACTTAGAGCAAGCCTCAAGACATAGAAGTAAGAAATCATGCAACAATCTTGACACCCTAGAGTAACCCACAAGACTTATAAAATGACTAGCTCCTCACTAGGTTTTTTAATAAGACTGAGGTGAGGTGGCACTAGCTTATGGATTTAAGCAGAGGGTTCCTCATGGCATTTTATGAAACAAGCCTTTTAATCTTGTTTTCTCTGTTTTTCTTGAATTATGGTATCCTTCTGTGCATGTATCTGTGGAGGGGGAAGTGTTCTTTACCTATTAACGTGTTTCTGAGAAAATCTGCGATTTGTTTAACAGAATCTGTCCTCGTTACAGTTTCCACAGATGATGGGATTGTAATGATTCATTTCTAAAGCATCTTGCTAATTGTAATTAAAAATAAAAACCACACAGACAACCAAAAAAACCCACCACCCACCCCTCTGATAAATGCCTAGGTCAATAGATTGAGAGGTGGAGGAGAACATCATAATCATATGGCTATAGTCCAGTTTAGGCCATAAAGTCTGTGCTTCAGACCATGAAGAGGCCATACATTTAGGGTTTCACACAGTAATTTCTCCAGTCAGCACATGCTTGAGCTGGAACATGTTTTTAGAAAGAGACATCGAGTCTTCCAGGAGCAGTTACTACCGTATTGCATGTCAAGGTTAGAGTAAATCTCCTTTGTGTTTGGCTGACTTTCTGCCAGGGCTTCCAAATTATTTTCAGTGTTGCTCCTTTCCAGCCTGTAAGGCCTGCTGTGTTTTAAATCTGTGCTGCAGGCTGTTGCGCTTGCTTTCTTTACTCTTAAATGTATGGCTTTTCTACCTGACTAATAAAATGCCGTCATTTGTAAATACGTGAAGTAAACTACTGTCATCAAAGAAGAGTCTGCTGCAAGATTTTCATTCTTCAATTTGTTCCCCAATTTTAGCTCTGAAAATATTTTTAAAACCTGTACTGGAGCTGACTTAAACCAGCATTTGTTTCCATACAGAACAAACTGAAGGCTTATTAGCAGAACTGTTAGACACACATGCAAAAGAAATCACCAAAGCAAGTTTTGCCAGCCCTCACATGAAACCATCCCGCAAATCCATGCTGAGCTCTCTTCAGCCGGGGACTCAGCATTTTCGGATTCTGCTTAACAGGAGTCCATCCTTCCTACCTGTGACTATTGTGAAATCTCTGTTTTCTGTTAATTTTTATGGTTCTTTAATGTCTTTAACATTTGTAGCGTTGCAGTGTTCTCTGTGCCTTCCCTCCAGGCTTGGTGGTGGTGGTGGTGGTGGTGGTGATGCTCTGGGTTGGCTCTCACAGCTGACACATAGAGTCCATGGAAAAGGATCAGGAGAGGAACTAGGAAATTTTGTTTCTTAAACCTTCCTCTGTCATGTTGTCACAGCAACAGAGACTCTGCTCAGTAGCCTGAAGCTCCCAGGACAGTTGTTGAACTGTTGAGATATTTTTGAGGGTGTTGAAAAGGGTATTTTACTCTTCAGCAATTCATTTTGTGTTCTGGTTAAAATGCTCCGTTACAGCATTTTAAATTATTTTCTGAGTTGGCATTAGAAAATGTTATGAGATCCCTCAGATTAAAAAAACCCAGCAAATGACAAAGACAACAAAACCCCCTCAACCGTTTAATTTGTGTTACAACTTTTAGGACACTAAAAAGATACCAAATTCTTGATAGAGGAAGAAATAGGTATATGCAATTTTAAACAGATAAGCTGTTCCATTTTTCCACTTTCTTTTTTCTTGCCTGCTGCATATCCAAAAAATGGAAAGACATGGTTAATCTTGGAAGATGAGTCCTTAGTCTTATTTTTCTGTGTAAGACGAGAGGAGGAGGCAAGTAACTGAAATGAGGAAGCTGCTGCAGAGCGTGTGTTGGTTTGTGAGCGGTGAAGTCTACGCTCAAGCGTGACGACTGTTGGTGTGGGCCCTGCATTTTATGAGAGGTTTTGTTGTAAAAGGCTGCCTCAATAAATGATTCATGAGGACATTAAAAGATGAAGGAAATTGCTTATTGTATCGCAGAGCATCCAGCTCTGAAGTTTATGAGAATCTGAGGGCCCCAGGCCCTAGGCATTTCACAAACTTTTTTGTTACAGCTAATTATGCTGCATTCAATTAAAAAAGTGACAATGTTACAACTGTAGGAGCATGGCAAAGTGATAGGCTTGGCCTCTGGGGAAAAAGCTGCTTGTATGGTTGCTTCTAGTTTACTCTTGGGCATAGTTCTTAAATAAATTAAACACAAGAAAAGACTGAGGTGGTTTGGCAGATGTTTCATAATTGAAAAACTAGAAAGGTAATAGTCCGAGTAATAAAACGTTCATTTATGTGGAGTTTTTAAGTCTGTGGTTGCTCAGATGGGCAACCAGTGGACAGGAGATGAAGGACTGGTAAATCTGATGAGGGGGCAAAGATATTTTCAAGCTTCACATTTGCAGAGTGATGCTAGTCGATGCCTGCAGTGATGCCCACAAACCAGTATGGCCACAGCAGCTAGTGTGGCGCCTGCCAGCTCCCGCGGCTCACAGCTTCCCAGGATGTTTCGTTGGCTCTGGAGCAGAGGCTATAGGGGTGTCTGTGTCTGGGTGTACTAGTATGTCTGGGCTGAAAGGAGCGAACAGGTTCTCGTGCGCCTGCCTTCAAAGCCTTCAGAGGATGCTTCCCAGAGCACCTGGTATTATAGGTATGTGTGAAAGCAGGTATCCAGAAACTTAGGTAGAGCTCAAGCAGAAAAGCAAGTCAGATCCTCTTCTTGTACAGCTCTTACAGCAGTGCCAAGAAAGAGTGCACTCATGTGGCAATTTTACTGTTTTAATGTTTTCCCAGCCTTATTTTAACAGGTCCTGGTTCCTTGCATTTGAACTGCTTTTATTGAATTGAGCACAACTAGTTTTTGTAAGCAGGCGATTACAGTAATCTTGGTAAACTCTATTTTTTGTGACTCCCTTCCATCACATACAATACTAGATGCTGAATGTTTCTGTGAATTTCCACAGTCTTTTTCACCCGTTTCTCTGTCTGTAAAGAGTGTAGCCACATGGTCTTTGATCACGTATTGGATTTGATTGTAAAATGCAGGTAGGGTTGCCTACTAGGTCCTTTGCAACGTGTCATAGAACGCCAGGCCATATGCATCTTCTGGTTTATCAAACACAGAGTGTCATACTGCACAAAGCAGTGTACGGGGCCTTGTGGGAACATTCAGTTGGCCTTTTAGATGGTTGGTTTGGTGATGTGATTAAATTTCTGTATCTTTTGAGGTATTTCCCCTCAGATAAGAAATAAGCTTTAGACCCACATGTGTTCTGGA